TTATTTATTTATTTATTTATATGCCGCCCACACTACCCAAAGGTCTCAAAGAACATTTGAGAACTGAGTTTATCCAGGAATACAAATATACCTTTAATCCCAGTCCCACCATTAACATGACATAAATATGGAGTAAAAACTCTGGATTAATCATTATTTTCATTTATTCTTTTTCCTACAGACATCAACTGCTACAGTCAACGTGGTTGTAACAGATGTAAATGATAATGGGCCTATCTTTGATCCTTTTCTACCTAAGAACCTTACAGTCCAAGAAGAGGAAGCCAATGCATTTGTTGGGCAAATCAGGGTAGGCTAATCTCATGTCTGCTCATAGGGAAGTTGACCATAATGGCTAAATTCATTAAAACTGCCAGATTGTCCAATAGATTTTTCCAGCAGCTTTCAAATATAAAATTCTGCCTTCTTGTTGGTTGAAAAATCTGTGTTTTATATTTCTCTCAGTTTTGTTATTTGGCTTACTGCAGAAATGCAAATTAAACTTATTTCCATGAAACTTCCATGTAGCAAAAAAAATCACATCTGAATTGTGAGAATATAAAATGAAATTTAGTAAAGAATGGCTGAACCTCAGCTTGTGTTCTTTGGGGATACATAGGAGTTTTCTGGTACTATTATTCTTTTGCTGGAGAAAGCTAAAGGATATAGATGTCTAGTTTCCCATCTATTGTCTAGATTCATGGGTCTTTTCAGTCTTCTGTGACATTTGATTTTTATTTAAAGCTGTTCAAGAATATCTACTTTGTAGCTGTTGGAGACATTTAAGCTGTGACTGAAGTTCACACCAAGTCTGATGGTGGTTGACTCGTTTCTTTAAAACTACTTGTACACCCCACACATGTATGAAGCAGGGGGTTGGTGGTAACAATAAAAATGGGGCACATGGGCAGAAGGTACTAAACCCATTCCACACACACCAGCTTTCCTTCCCACTCTCAGTAGAACTCTTCTCAAGATAAGCTCTGAAACAAGAAAAGTCAGGGCAAAAGAATGTTCCAGTAAGGTAAGAAGCAGGCATTGGGAACGTTCAGTTCTTCTTTCAGGCAACAGTGGTAAAGCCTGCAAACTACTCTTGATACCTCTCTTCCTGGATTAGTAGGCAGTAGTCATTTGGTTCTTAAGGCTCTGTAAAATTTGCCTTAAAAAAAGAAAACAGAAAAAAACATCACTCCCCTAATGTTTTTCAGTTGCCATGGAGCTTTAGAAAGCTCTACTCATGTCCTCCATGCTTTAATGGCTGTTGCTGCAGACACAGCATTGGCAAAGAATAGGCATATATCCTGAAACCTCTCTAAGAACTTCGATTTTTGGGGGGTAAAGGTACCAAAATCTCAGCTGGCGGAATTCCTGCTCCAATCTGGTAGTTCCAGTTTAAAAAAAAATCCAACAATCCCATATCTACTGTTCACTCTTCATGAAGATTAAGGCTTCAGGCCTAAACACACATATACTAAAGAGAAGGACTCTCTTCTGAATAAACACAAAGGAAGTAGATCTATTTAGAGCAAGTTCAGATATGACAGAATGTTTTTGTTTTGTGTGGTGAATGTCATGAGGGAATAACAGCTGATACAGAGCTTTTTTGTTTCCCTGGTGGAAAGATGCATTAACTGTGCCTTCATCTGGTGCATGTCAATTTTTCTACTAGATAGAAGTAAATCTGATTCTATTTTTTTAAAAAAAAAATTGTGGGATGGGAACAGTTAGCATAAAGTGATAAAAAAAGAGAGAGAAAACATTTATTTTCGGCAAGATAACATTGCTTGAATCTCTTTTGTTTGGATTAGGAAAAGGTTGTGTGGTCCTAAAGAATGGATGATACCTTTTATTGGACCACACTGAAAAATTCAAACAAATCACAAGTTTTCATGGAAAAGATTCCACTTGATCAAGCTAGGCACCACCACTTCATGGACAATGCAGAAACATTGTAGATAAAAGTTCAAAAATTTATGGTAGCTGTCTCTGTCAAGTCTGTTTGGAGGGATGATTTCAGATTCAGGTTGCAAACATCATCTGGGTGGTGCAGTCTCAAGCATCATCCCTTGCAGCATGGTTGGAATTTTGTACCCTGCTCTTCAGACCAAAAGGCGTGCTGCTTTCTCTGTGATTGCCTTTCCCCACACACTCACATTGCCTGCTTCTGAAACACAAAGTTCCTTTTTGGCTCTGGGCCGGGGGGGGGGCGGGAGAAGCAACACAGAGACATAGTAGCCTATGTTTTTACCTGGTGAGAATAAGATTTTCCTTCAGTTTGTAAGCACCTCTGGCTGATGTCCATGGCTGTGTCGAGACCTTTCTGGTGGTTCTGTGTGCAGCCATTAATGGTATCTTACATAATAGTATCTTTTGTTTGAGGCAGTTTCGGCATTCTGTAGGGTACAGTCATGTCATTTTAGGGCAGCGAAAAGCATCTTTCAAATTCATTTTGTGTTCTGTCTGTCTGCTGTCAGCGCATCATCCTAGATAACAAAAAGCAACTTATTCCTTTACTTAGATAATGAAATATAACATGTCACTGCTCCACCTTATCTCTATCTTTTATGTCACTGTAATTTTAAAATCTTTTAATTTGCTGAAATCAGAATTGCCATCTGATAGTAAATTCTGGAAAAACAAGAAACGTCTTTATGAAACTTTTTGAGATTGATAAAAAAACTTCCATCTGGTGTGGCTGCACCCCAAAAAGTGTAGGGCAGTGATATATGTAAGATATACATGATCACTACCTTCATCTGAAAATATTTGTTACAAGTACAACATGCCGTACTTACACAAATGCAAGAGTAGGCGATACTTTTATTAAACCACTAAAAATAAAAATAAAAACAGCAAGCTTCCAAGGATAAAGGCCACTTCTTCAGGCTTACACACCAATATTTTATGGATAGTTAAGGGGAAAAATGTAAATAAGAGTCCCAAAAATTCATAGCAGATGTCTGTGCCAGATGTCCTTGAGATGATTTCAAATGATGAATGCAAACTGTCCCTGGGAAGTAAAAAGGCAAACTCTGCAAAAATTCAAGTAAAAATATTGTGTATGTTATGTGTTGTCTTGCAGTAATCCTAATAGAGCTTTTGAAGGTAAGCGAGATATTTTTGCTGTCCTCTGAAGATGCCGGCCACAGAGACTGGCGAAACGTCAGGAAGAACAACCTTCAGAACACGGCCAAGGAGCCCGAAAAACCCAGAACAACCATTAGATCCCAGCCGTGAAAGCCTTCGCGGAGATATTTAAGGACTGGTTCCACCAGTTCCACGATCCCCAGTGAGTTTCCATGGCTCTCCTGAGTCCTAGTCCACTACTCTATCCACTATACCGCACTTTAACCCCTAAATTAAAGTACCATGCCCTAAATCCAGTAATAAGGGCCAATTAAATCAGAGCTACTGAATGGGCTTCACACAAGTGTTAACTTACCATTCAGCAATGAATTTAACCAGTGTACTCTAGCTGGGATCAGCAGGTGGATTAATATCATAGTACTGTTAAGACACTGGAAAAACACACCATGAGCATTTATCCAGTGGGAACCCACTTCAGCAGCAACCTAGGTTAGAGGTCAAAAGACTGCCTGAAAAAAATTAAGGGGGAGCCTTCTCCTAATCAATAGAGATTTTATTAGGTTTCCTTGGGGATGAACTATAAAACCTGGGCACATGCACCAAGAAAGTCCTCTCTTGCTTCCTCACCAAGCATGACTCTGCGGGCAACAGAATGGAGAGAAGGGCCTCTCCTGAATATCTTAAAACTGAAAAGGATCATAGCCTAGAGCAGGAGAATGCAGAATCAAAACAAAAGGATACTAGTATAGCAAATACTCTGAGAAACTCTAGGCTACATCTATATATATCTTGTTACATATTAGGAACTAGTAGAAAGTGTTAATAACCTATGAAGTGAAAGATCTCACAGCGGGAACCCTTGAAGGCAGTTGCTTACAAGGGCCTCCTACTGTGACTGGGAGACTGCAAAGAAGATGAAAAGACTAAAAACTAGAAAGGACAAATCTAAAAGTGTTGTGGGTGCATCTCAACTCCTTTTAACTCCATACAGTGGAAACGAGTTCTACCAGATTCCCTACTGTTCTTTTAATTTTATCATTGGGATTCCACCACCCCCCAAAGCCAATTTCTGAATGAATTCTCTTTCTTTTTCTTTTTAGAGGTCCGCTGTGAAGCAGAAAGATTTGAGAGTTCAAATGTGTGCAACTGACAGTGATGTTCATCCATATCAAAATACTTGTCTTACAGCTATTGACTCCTCTTGTGTAGTACAGTAAAATATTTTGATCCATAAATCTGAAATGCTTTCAACAGTCATATTTGATATTTACAACTAGGACATTATCAGGAGGCATCAATGTGGCTTGCACAATTCCCTAAGCAGCCCTTTGTATTGGTGGAAAAGAACACATAACTGAAGCAGAGCTCTAGGTACAACATTTTGTTGAATTTGGAATTCTTGCTGCTTGAAAGCTATGACTCTAGTTGGCATTCCACCCTAGAAATCTCTTTCCACCCAAACAGTTTAGCATGCTGTCCCAAAGCAAATTGGTGCCAATAGCACCTGAGTGGTGCATTGTGCTATAAGACAGTGAAGCCACTAGCATTCAGATCTTAGCCTCTGAGAAGCAGAAAAAAGTAGGCTTCTATAATGGAGGCACTGGGGATCCAGTATCATCTGAGCTAAAATCAAAGACTGCTTCTCCAGAAGACTACCAAGTGTGTTCTAATACTGGGCACACCATGGTAAAAGGGCTGAAGCATGACACTGGTAATATACTCCCTACCTGCCCAAGGCCTTACAACCATCAGGCCTTTTTTGAGAGAAGGAAGCAAATGTTGACTGGAGCCTAATTCTGTGCAGCTCCAAGTTGCAGTAGGGCCATTGAGTCCTGTATAAAAAATGATAAGTTCCTTGCTGTTTGGTGCTAATGAAATAACCTCATAGCTCATGATGTATACACAGACCAAACCAGGTCAATGGCATGGGCAGCATTGTGCATGTATTTAGTAAAGGACTGTTAGTGTTGGCTATATCCAATGTAACTAAGGAGTAATATTGTGCAGGGATGTTACTGGTGTATGGCTGCTGATGTAACTGGCTGTGGCCAAGTTAGGTCCCTACCATTACTATCAGCATGTCCATGTAGTGCTGCCCACTGCCTCTACTGTCTCACACTTTCTTCTGAAAAAAGCATGTGTGAGAGACAGAACAGGCAAAAGAGAAAAAGTGTGGTCATGCTTGATTAAAAAAAGCAGGTACACATGCATGAGAGAGAGAGG